CGATCGAAAATTGTTAACTTCGCCATAATAAATTATACCCTTGAACTCTAAAACACCCAAAATTTTAAAATTTCATATTAAAATCGACCAAAATTTCAGCATAATCCCCGACATTCAAATACTGTTATTAAAATTCAAAGACCTATTAGCAACAATTCTACAATTATCACCCATTCCTCCAATCACCAATATTTCAGAATCTTTAAACTTAGGTACAAGTTGACGCATTGGAGAATGAGCTAGTGTTAGTTGTGACGGGTTGATCTAAGAATAATTATAATAAGAAAATTATCTGAGGTTTAATAGAATGCGATGAATAAATAATTACATACTTGAACACCTATAATCTCACTAAATTCCTCGGCTTTTTTTATTTCTGTCATACCACCACCGTTAGTTAATAAGACGAAAGGAATCTTTCTTTGAATAAAAAGAAAAGACAGACAACCATATTAATATATCCATTTCGATTAAAAAAAGCTTAATTTAAAAAAGCTTAATTTAAACATCTAAATTCACTTTTTTAATTTATTTTCGCCGCTCAAAAATTGAAGTGCACTTTTGGCTTCAGGTACAACTGTTTTTCCCTTTTCCACGAAATTACAAAGAATTAGTTTGTTAATCATCTTAATGGTTGACATGAATATTGTGAATTGATACTTTTATAAGAACGCCATCAATATCTATACATATTCCATAGTGGCATGGTGATGACGAATAACATCTACGTCCTATAGCAGCATTGATAATGAATTTGTTAAGTAATGATTGCGATGAGTATAAATGACTGAATAAGCGAAACATTTCCTGAATATATAGAATATATTATATAGTGATAATTTAATTATATAAATAAAGCCGTTAAAAAAAAAAAAAAGAAAAAAAAAAGAGTTTAGTATGCAGTGCAGTGTTCGACATATGTATATACCAGGAACGGCATGAAAAAGCTTGCATCTGATTGGATGATCATTAACTACGTCATTTATTGATTTTATGAATGTCGTCAAGCGAAAACCTATAATTTCGGCTCCACTTTCTGATCTGATTCCTGATAATTTTAAATTAGGCACAACATATCAAGGGAAAACTTGTCATCAGGCTTTCAATTATATTTTGTACCGGACATATTCCCTAAGAAATTAAATAGATTTTGTCCGGTACAAAATATAATTGAAGCCCGATGACAGGTTTTCCCTTGGCGGCACTCATATGGTGTGTTAAATCACATTTTTTGGGGTTTGATCTGTAAAATTAATTTCGGAAAACTCTCAATTCCTGGTTTTTGCTTGGCGACACTCAAATATAAACGTTGCTAATTTAGTAATTGAAAATAATCTACAGGAAATTTAAATTTAAATCTCAGAAATTTCTCTCAATAATCAACACGAAAATCACAAGGCCAAAGCAATAAATGAAATTTTACATATGATATTTAATATACGGAATGAATTATTCAACACCTAAAAGAGCTGATGATTGTTGCCTTAGTTTGATAAGTTCGAACTCAAATACATGCTATCATTGACTTAAGTAAGACTCAAATGGTGTATATAAAATTGACGAATTAAGTGACACAAAAAAAGTATATTAAACACAAAGAACAGACAACCTAATAAAAAAATTATTTAAATATCTAAGTTCTGGACCCCAATGCCTAGTACCGATTCCAAATCGCGTACACACATATCAGATATGTGCTTCCCTTTTGCCCACATCATGAGTTATGCAACGGAATTTCCTTATTATCTAATTAGAATTGAGAGAACTTAGGTTAATGAACTTAAGGTTGAAATTCAAAGCTAATCTGGAGTTTATGCTTCAAGTTTACAAACTCAAGTTCAAACTCAAGGTCAAATTTTAAAAATAAACTGAAGTTTATAAACTTTAGTTTGTTTTTCTCTTGAGACTGAACTGAGATTGAACTGAGACTGAACCGAGTGAACCACTAACATCCCTGACATCAGGAAATTTTAAAAACCGATTGTAATCGATTAAAATCCGATGATTTTAATCGATTATTATCACCCCGCCGATTACACGCGATAAAGATTTTTATTGATTATAATAAAACTATAATCGATTATAATCGATTTATAGCGCTTTGCAAAAAGATGTGAGTGACCCCATGATTTTTGTGATGATGAAAGAGGAAATTTTCCGAGATTCTAAATTGTCTATTAATTCATATTTTCGATCAGTTATATTTATATTTATTTGAAATCGATGATTCTTAAAATCTACAGAATCTCCGATTTTCACGCGACGTTGTGATCTGCAGAGGTCACATCTTTTTGCAAAGCGCAATACGTAATTTATTGCGGTTTGCATAATTTTGTGACCCCTATGATATTTTTTTTTATGATTATTAGCTGCCCGATACGAAAGTATCGGAGCAGCTTTTTGTCTCGAATCGATCACGGGTGTGGGTAATTGATCGTTGATGCATTATCGTGATTTTTCGTATGACTGATCGTATGAGTTTGATCATTGTTGCGTCACAGTGATTTATCGTAAGATTTCGTCTGATGCATTGTTCTGATGCATTGATCGATTCGTATGTGATTTTATGACGTATTGACATAGTATTTGAGATTAGTAATCGTTAGCAGTATTTAGGGGGAGCGGGTTTTTTCCCACGAAAGGTATCTTCTGTTTTTTCTGCTTACCCGACTTTGTCTGGTTTTTTCGCCGGCCCTTGTGTGCGATCGTACAGCGACTTGGGAGCTATTTAGAACCCATTGGGTCGACGTTTATCGTTGTTTAACTGATTTTTGGGTAGTTTATGGCCTGTCGGACGACAGTCATATTTTGTTTTAGTGGCCTGACTGGGCAACAGTTACAGTGAGTTTGGTTGTTAATCGCATGGCCTGTCGGGACGACAGTCACAGAAGTTTTCTTGTTTTTTTTTGTGTATATTGAAGCGACCTGCCTAAACGACAAGCATGAAGAAATTTTTATGTGTTTGTGCGAAGAAGTGGCCTGTCGGGACGACAGTCATGGATGAAATTGTCTGGTTTTTTTTTTTTTTTCGCCCACTCCCTATGACGTTCAATAGCTTAGAAAACCATCAGTTTTAGAACGACTACGTTCGACTCGTTCGATTCTTTCGAGTTCTGCACTATTAGCATGCATAGCACGTATAGCACGTGAGCGGAAGGGACAGATAACCCATACTTGTTTTTCATTTTGTTTTTTCTTTTGTCTTGTTTTTTACTCCTTGTTCATCCTGTATCACCCCTCTTCGATGAGGGACAAAAAATGATTGTGATTGCGATCGCGATTACTAAAGCCAGCCAATTTATCATGAATCTAGATAAATTGGCCGGCTTTAGCAATCGCGATCGCAATCACAATCATTTAATCATAAAAAAAAATTAATCATAGGGGTCACAAAACTATGCAAACCGCAATAATCGCTTTAATCATAAGACTATAATCGATTTTGATTTAAATCAATTATTATCACCCCCACCGATTATATCATAATCGATTAACTGCTTGCAACTGATTATAATCAGGTTTTAAAATTTCCTGACGCTAGTAGCTACTTTGACCTTTTAAATGCTTTTTAGCTACGTATAGTTGTTATTTCTACTTAATGAATGAACTATAACTTCATCATTAATAGTTTTTAAAAGTGATTGTTTTTCATGTTTTTCTTACATGAAGGACAATTACCAAAAGCGCAAACTATCGTCACAGTCTACTATTTTATTTTTAGTTACGTAGGCAGTTGTCTGTTTCAATAATCACCTCATCGGTATTTAAGGTTAACCTAATTCATATTAAAATTAAGTTAAGTTAGAGTTAAGGTCAGGAGAACGACGTACAGTACGTAGGCTCTTTCTCCTAAATATATATATATATTTGTCGCCATATACTCCAATAATTTAATTTACTATCAATGAATAAAAATTATATATCTTTTAGGGGAAGCGCCAGAATGACATAATTTAAAAGGGGAAGAAAGGAGGTGGTGTTCACAAGTTAATTAAAGAATGATGGGGCAGAAATTATTAAATGACAAAAGATAGGTCATTTTTGGCGTTTCTCTATGTACGCCTACTATAAACATAACATTCTTTAGAAACCTTGGAAACTTTTTCTTTTCTATAATGCTTAGGATACAGTCTTGAATTACGGCCTGAATTAAGCTTATTTCGGACATTATCTTGAATAACGCGCATGTTCGTTATTTATGAATAAACGGTTCTAAATGCATACCGTCTCTAAATATACATATACACATTTCGGCATATGGTCACAAGAGAGTACACCGTAGAAATTTGACTATTTTGACTATACAGTTTTTTTTTTTTTGCATGTGTTACATATAAATTCTGTCGTTGTTTACATCAACAACTTTAATACGTACATTTTGTGCTTAAATAAGCATAATACACAAGAAAAAAAGAGAGAATCTTTCGTGATATATATTATTTACTATATAATTCATAAGACATTTCATTAACAAACAAAATCATCATAGTCGAATAGAATAAAATAGAACTTGAGTATGTCTTTTTTTTTTTTTTTTGTATAAAAGTTATCAAAATAATCGTACCGATAGAATACCGAATTTTTTCTTGAATAGTATTTTTGAAACGCGTAAACCCAATTTACGTACTATTTAAAGATATTGTACGTAATACGTATAAAACGCCACTCCAATTCTAGTACTTTGCTCGGATTAAAAAAAAATAGGCGTTTCAGATTTTCTCTTTGATATTTACGTATATACAGTATATATATATGTCAGTTATATATCTGATATATATGTGTTTAGAAGTACAGATATACGTACTGTACGTACTGTACGTAAGTGCGTACGTATGTATCAGGTATGTATGTATCATGTATACAACCTAAACTGGATTTGGTCATATTATAATTGTGTACATTTTTGTTGATCAGGGTAATTTATAAATTTGTACTCACTCACGTACGTACGTACGTACGAGCCTAGTTCGATTGAAAGTTTTAAGGATTTGTTAAGAATGATGAGTTTTTTACCACATTTATGTCTTGAAAATATATTTCTAAATCTAGCACAAGATTCAAAAACTTTACATTCATGTATTCTAGTTAACAAACAATGGAGCGTATCGTCTGCTCCAATATTATGGAGAGATCCATTTAGACTCTGTAAGGATCTTCGTAAGCCGAATAAACTTGTACCGTTATTGAATACTTATTTATCATTCCTTCCTTCAACTACTCAAAAGCTTCTTGATATCAAATCAATTATTGGACGACCAATGACTTTTAATTATCCTGTTTATTTACGCAGCATAAATGTAGTATTGATTCATGGAAGTGTTGAATATTGGACTGATTTTATGTTTGGCGCAGATTCAGCTTCTTTGCAAAAAATTACACCTATTTGTCGAGTTCTTTGTGAATATTTTTTATGTAATTCATCTAGAATTGATTATCTTGATCTTGAATATGCGAGTTGGTTTGATATATTTAAACTTAATGGTGCAACTACTTCATTATCATCGATTAAATCAGTCGTAATAGATGACCAACGAAATTTCCCTGATCAATTCAAGAAACTTTCATCAGTCATGCAAAATACTCGGTATTTACGTTTATCTTTACTATATAGGAAGAATGATCCTGCTTGTAAAAATATTATAAATCTTTTACAAACTCAAAAATATTTGAAAAAAATTAGTTTATTTAGTCACGTATCAGATTTTTTTCAAAATATTTGGGATACTCTTGCTTCATCACAATTACTTCACAAAAGTTTAACATCAATTGAATTTCATGAAGCAACATTTGATAATTCAGCTCTTTTACAAGTATCTAGATTTTATAATCTACGACATTTAAAACTCTATAGATGCAGAAATTTTACTGGTGAAATTCAAGAAATTAACAATTCATTGGTATTTCAAAATCTTTCTCAATTAATTATTTGCAAGATAGGTGTGAATCCACGAATCTTAAAGTTTCTTTTAGAGAAATCCAATAGAAGTCTTAACGTCTTGGAATTTCATGATCATGTTCTCAATTTTCACGAAACTATTCTTTGGTGTACAAGTTTCTGTCAGAATCTTTCAAGATTTGTAGCATCTGGTCAAGTGAGTCAAATCAGGGATATCATTTTACTTTTTAAAGAATGTAAGAAACTTGATTATTTTCATATATATGATGCGAAACTTTTATTTGAAGATGAGGAAGAACCATGGGATGAATATAGACCACCAGAGTTAGAATTATTTCGCGCAGATGAATTATTAGAAGAATTAGGATCATGTATACCAATGACTATGAGAACGATCAAAGTTTGGATGAATTGGTTAATTGAGATTGAAGATATCGAAGCATTTATTTTAAAATGTGTAAATTTTGGCTTGAACATGAAAGTCATAGAATTTAGACATTGCAAAGGATTTGGGAATGCTCATAAGGAAGTGATTAGAAATTATTTGTTGAATAATAAATCATTAACTTAACAATCATTTTAAAACATTTTAAATCATTTTGATTTATGATAGGCATTATTATACGTACCTTTCTTTCTTTAAATGAATAATGTATTTTAAATTTGATCATAGTTATTTTTATGTAAACGTATATCCTGTAATGATATGTCTATATCGAAGAATAAAGTTGCTGGTCACAACTTTTATATAAATTTTTTTCATGATACAACAGTAAATGTTGACTATAAAAAATCTGGAATTCTGTTAATTCAAGTTGATTTCGAATCCAAAATCAACTTAAGTTGATTTCAAATCTTAAAAAATAAAACAAATCATAAAGATTTTCAAAAGTCGTTCAAGAAAAAATACCCTTTCTTTAAATTTATTATAATATAAATTTTTGAAAAAAAAAAATCTTTGTTAGATGCAATATTCTTTATATTCATACAATTGCTATACGAGAAAAGAATATTAACCGATTTTCGATATGAATCAACTAAAATCTTAAGTTTGTCTAAAATTATTAGCTGCTAACGCGTAAGAAATCACAGGAATTTAATCCACCTTTGCTTTAGCTTGCACAAACGTAAAAGTGAATGTAA